GTCTCACTCGCCGGCCCTTCCCCGAGCGCCTGCTGCGTGCCCGGCTCTGGGGTTCCGGAAGAGACAGACTCGGCCCTGCAGGCTGGCGGCTTCCAGCCCCGTTGGGGACAGGCACAGCTCCAACTCTCTTCAAGGTCGTAGCGTGCGGGGCCCAGCGTGTGGCTCTGGGGACGGGTGGAGGTGGCAGGTGGGGGCGGGAATGACCCGAGACACGTGATGGGGGGCCCAGGATGGCGGAGCACGCGGCGCTGGGGCCGCGTTCCGGCAGTCCGCTATGGGCGCGATCGAGGAGGCCCTTGCGGGAACAGCGCTGACTGGGGATGTTGGGGGTCAGGGAACTCTGGGGGCCATCAGACGTCCCCGAGTCTGCTGGACATCGGGGTTGAGCCGCGCTCTGTTCCTCCTGCCAGCCTGGCGGGGGTGACCTGCAGGGGCCAGGTCCTGGGAGCCACGGCCTGTCAGCCTCAGGTTTGTGAGCCTGCTTTACCGACAACACAAGTCGGGGACGGGGTGGGGGGCAGGCAGCACGGAAGGTCACGCCCCGGAGGTCACTGAAATCGTTAAGCTGTGCGGCCAGACCGCATCCGAGTCCCCGGCCCTGATGTGTGGTGTGGCCTCCTCCCAGCCCCTCGCCGTTCGTGGCTGCAGGCGGGTGACCCCTGTGTCCAGAGTGGACTCTGGAGCGTGTGCTTTGCACTTGTCCGGGGGCCGGGCCCCGCAGGGTCGCAGGGGACTGACCGTCTGGGGTCAGGGTCTCGGGTCTGTGGCCTTCTCCACGCAGGGCTGCTGTGCATCCGCCTCCTCCCGCTGGCCGCGGCAGGGTCCCCCGCTGGCATCTCACCACCGAGGGCTGTTCTCTTGTGGGGGCTGCAGTTTTTCTCCCATCTCATTTTTCCCCCAATTTTCCTATTTTTTTTGCACCCCCTCAGCCCCAGTTGCTCTCGTTCAGACACGGAGACCCCTCGGGCCACACAGCCCCTCACGGTTCCTCCCCAAGGCCGTGCGGCGGGTGGGCACGCGGAGCGGTGGGGCCTAGGCCTCAGGCCCGTCTCCTGCAGCCAGCACCTCTTGTCCACGGACCCCAGACGGGAGCTCACGGGTTCCAGCGCTGAGCTGGGGGGCTGGCCGCGGCCGTGCGGGGTGTCTGCTCTCCAGGCCTTCCGAGCGGGGTGGAAGCTTCACATAGCGTGTGGCCTGCTCGCCCTTCCTCGTGCAGGCCTAGGGCTTGTTTAGGGTCAAGGCAGGACTGGCACCTGGGCCTCAGGCTCCCGGTGCAGACCTCGTTCCTTTAGGCCGGTGAGCGGGCAGAGGAAGCACGTGCCCAGCCAGGGGAGGTGCGTGCTCAGCCCTGTCCCCCTGGGCACCCTGTGTAGTCAGGAGGGCTTGCTGGAGGTGGTGAGTGTAGCATTGTTTCTGGAGGATGGAAACGGGCAGGGGCAAGTGCATCGGTGTGGAGCCCGGCCACAAGGCGGGGCACCAGTGTGCCAGGGGGCAATGGGGACCCTGGGGTGTAGCTCGAGGCACGAGGCTTCCTTGAGGACACGGCAGCACAGAGCAAGCTCAGATTAGCGCCCGAGATCGCTGATGTGCTGAGCGCATCACTCTGAGCGCTGGGCACACAGCAGTGAGCCGTGGGTATCCATCCATTGAAAGTGACCACCGCTTAACTAAGGCAGGTCCTCTGGTGTAATCAGTGCCAATTTAGGGGAGGTACAGGGCACCATGGGCACCCAGAGGAGGCACCTGCCCCAGCCTCGGGCATCAGGCAAGGCTTGGGTTGGGGGAGATGGCCAGGCTGACCCCTGAAGTCTGGGAAGGTGTTGGGCAGACCCCCTGCCCAGCCGGAGGGAGCAGTGTGTGCAGAGGCCGAAGATGCCAGCAGGTGTGGCTTACTGCAGGGCACAGATGCCACCCCCGGCCCCAGAGAAGGGCCCTCCACAGGCCCTTGGGACTGATTGTCCAGCCAACGCTGACTGCTTTCTATGCCCACTCAGCCTGTCCTCCCGTGAGCCTGGCTGTCATCAGATTCCAGCTTTCTGTTTCTTCAAGGCCTTGGAGAGAGTGGGTGACACCCCACCTCACCCCAGCGGAGCTCTGGAGTCAGTGCTGGGGGGACCGGGAGTCCCCTGGCGTCCTCCGGTGACTGGGTCCTGCCACGAGCGGCCGTTAGGAGTCCCGCCGGGTCCGGGCCTCGCTGGGCACCGCTCCGTCTCCACACGGCCCCCCTGCGGTGTGGTGCTGCTGTTCCTACACCTTGCGAGAGAGATGGGGTGCTCGGGGAGGTCTCCGGGCCGGCACGGGTGGGGGCTGTGTCTCTCCTGCCTCCGCTCAGGTCTGACGGGTGGATCCGGTGCTTCAGGCACATTCCGGAGGCAGCGTGGGCCCTTGAGACCTGATTTATGGGCCATTAGACAAATACCTGATCCTGCCAGGCCCCGCCTCCCCCTCCCGCCTCCTGGATTCATAAGTCAGGAGCTGGAGTAGAGAATCACACCCTGATCACGACAGGAAACGGCTGTGGAGTGTGGCTCTGTGCACACTGAGTGCCGAGGGCGCCAAGGAGGCAGGCCAGGGCCTGGTGCCAAGTGGGCTCTGTCTCCAGGCGTGCGACTGCCCGGGGAGGCTGCAGCTTGTCATGGTCCCTGGTGCCTCTGGGGCCCAGGCCACAGCTGTACTCTGGAGGAGTGACTGGCGGCCCCCGTGCCACCTCGGTGCCGTCCTGCAGGGAGCTCCACTGTCTCCTAGCACGAGTGGCCCCCCCCCCGCCGCCCCCCGCCATGCCGCCTGCGGCTGGGTGCTGGGCACTGCCCCCCGTCCCCCGGAAGTGGCCCTCTGCTGTCTTAGCAAACTACTGCGAGGACTCCCAGGCAGTGGTGGCACAGTTGGCCACGTGAGCAGGGCCAGTTTGGCCGTCCAGGGCAGTGGGGGCCGGGGCGCCGATCCGAAGCACCCAGGATGTGAGCTGTCCGCTCCCAGGGCCGGTCAGAGCCCTCAGGGCCAGCCCTGGGCGGGCAGCTCTGCTGATTGGCCTCGATGCCGCTCGACCCCTCGGCGAGGTTGTGACCACAGTCGTTCCAGGGGAGGGGGCTGGGCTCCCGCCAGGCAGTGGCGCCCACTGCGGTGGTGAGAGGGGCAGCTCAGGGCTGCACCGGGCTGGCCGACCACAGGGCGAGGCAGGAGATTCTGGCTCGGGGCTGACGGCACCCCACCTCCGTGGGCTAATGAGGGTGCCGCAGGCTGACAGCATCTGCATTGGGCAGCGGGGGGGCCTGCAGCATTCCGGGGGATGGGGGCGGGGCCCCGGTCAGAAACGGCCTGCCTGCCCGAGCAGGTGGCGGCAGG